GTGATTTGTATTGCAGAAGTCCCAAGTACTGTGGTTACACAACAAATCCTAGTTAGTCTTAGTGTGTTATATGACCCAGCTCTTGCGACAGTCAACAAAGCATGTTTAAAATAAATTATGGTTTAGCAAAATTGTGTGAGCTTGGCCAATGAATTGATTAGATGGATAAATATAAGAAGAAGGGAGCTTATTTTGAGACTGAGAAAGACAATAGATGGATAAGATTAGAGAAAGAGAGAAACTGTGGTTCATAGGAGAAGTGCTGGTATGGAACATGAATTCCAAAATAAAACAACAAAAATATCACGAAGAGACTGCAACATGGAAGTTATTCCACTGCCAGGAATCAATAATCCAGATTCACATGTTTGAAGGCGAATTCATATGGTCTCCTGCTCCAGCAACGCTGAGGAATTCTGGGAGTTGAACTCCACAAGTCATAAAAGGGCCAAGTTTGAAGACCCCTGCTCTAAGGCTTATCAGTTATATTTGTCTAACATGTTTGTCTATGGTTATCCATGGTTTATTGTCTTGGACCTCAAGTACTCCTCCGTATCATGCAGTAAGACCAGCTGAAGAAGTTCTGCTTATAACATTGGTTTGTAAAGGGATAGCCAGATGTGGGCTTCTTCTGATAGACCTCAGTCCTGAAGATGTATGGCTGGTCCCATATTCTCTAATGAGAATTGAAGACATGCCTAAGGAATTATAGGTCTCAATTGCTCAATTATAGGTCTCAGTCTGTTCGGTTTTGAAAATATGAATCTTGTTTCAAGTTTTGCTTTGTTTACTGTCTTTAGGTGTATTGATAGCAGTGTTATATTGAAATTGTTTTTAAGGGAGTTGGGTGGAACTTGTACACTGCTCTAAAATGCTTCCCAAGGGCAATCCAAAAATAAGCCATTGTCCCAATTTACTGAATATACACAATCTACTATAGTGAATAATGACACTGCCTAGGTCTACCTACCAGGCTAGGATAAAATGGGACAGGCAAATATATACTATTTATTGGGTCATCCAAACTGACATATTAAGGTCTGTCTTGTTTAGAGATAAGTAATTCTGCACAAGAAGGAAAATCCACCATAGGAATGTTAGATAGCTGTAGTCCATACCACTCCTTTTTCTTGCCAAACACACTTAATAACCCACTCCCTTCCTTAATAAAGATGGATAACCTGCCTTACAACTTAACGGAAGATTAAGAGACAATATGATCCCCAAATAGAAGATTCCAATGAATCTTGATACCAGGTTGGCGGAGATTTCTTGGGGTTTGACTGGGGTTCTGGAGAAACAAAGACTTGTGCTGTGTTGACAGAATTGGAAAACAGAGACAAGGGAGTAAACTTTATTGGCTAGATGGAAGATTTTTTAAAATGTGGATCTGTGCTAAGGACTTGCATATATGTTGACTGACAAAATCAGACAGATTATTTTTGGAAAACACAACAACTCCGTTTAATTGTGCCTGCCAACAGCTGGGATCCTGCCCCAAATGCAAAATGAGTGGAAGAGCAAACAGAATGGAGGAGACGAACTTTCATCAGCTCAGCAGGAAAATAACCACTGCCATCCAGAGTCCCTCCCATTCAGAGATAATTAACTCCCTGGCCACCATAGGTTGTTTCGCTAGGGAACGGGCTGGTGTTTAACTGCAATTAACAATGCAAATTTTGCTAATCAGAAGCATATGTGCACCAACCCAATTAGCTGATTGGCAGGCAGGGGGTAACAAATGCTAGTAGACTTGATATGCAGTGACACAAGAGTGCTTTGCGGTTTGTAGCTACATAGAGAAACAGGATTCTTAGCCACTCTGCTGGTTGCATATAGGTTTGCAAAAAAGGAGGAGGAGGAGGAGGAGGAGGAGGAGGAGAAAGAGGAAGAGGAGGACAGAAGAAGAAGAAGAAGAAGAAGAAGAAGAAGAAGAAGAAGAAGAAGAAGAAGAAGAAGAAGAAGAAGAAGAAGAAGAAGAAGAAGAAGAAGAAGAAGAAGAAGAAGAATTCTCTTTGAATGGAAGAAAGTCATACATTCTGACATTTTGGAAGTTGATTTTTCTAGACTTAAACAAATCCAGTTTAGAGCAGACTAAACTATCTCCCTCCTCAACAATCTTTAAATGAAGAATATTAAATCTCTTCAGGAAATTTATTACTCAGTGCAAATATCTAGCAGAGAAAATGTAGTGGACAACAGTTTGCATCCCCTGGATTTAGCCTCAAGATGATGTCAAGTTAGTTGAACACGTTGGCTCAAAGTTTATTTTATATCGTGGAATTCTCACATGGCAGTTAGAGCATCTTAAAGTCCAAATGGTGTTGAGAGCAAATGCTTTAGGCCTTGTTCACCCAATACAATGTTAGTTAAGGCAAGATTTTGAGAATGTGAGAATCTCCTGAAGATGGATAGGAGTTGGGTGCTGCTGCTTGTGTCATATAAAGTTCTGTTATTTCACAGGAACAGTAGAAAAGAATCAGATACTGAACCAATGTTTTGAAATCACTACAAAAGGACGCTTATTGGGTTTCCTCACTATACAGACATAGCAAGTTAGATCCACCAAGCTAAACCACAAAATTCAGTATTTCTCTCAAGGACTGCATTTCAAAGAGATGTCTGCAAGTCCTACCGTAAGATACCAAGGACCGAATTTGAAGCTTGAGACTCTTCTGCATGAAAAGCATCTGTTCTGCCAATGAATTATAACCTTTGAAATATGGCTTTGAAATACAGAATTTTTCTGAATCAAAGGACTCCAATACACATCCTTTCAGGTGGCAGTAAAAGACTATTACTATTCAACTTCAAAAAGCTTCTAAACTCTTATTAATTTCTCTCTGTTTGAAGGCAGAATTTTCTTTCCCCTTTTTGCATGTCTTATTTTTGATATGGCATTTTATTGTGCATGATGTTTCGCGGCAGGTTGCTCTAAAGGTCACGAGGAATGCGGTTGTGGAACAGCATGACGTGGTATTGTGGCGCTCCATTTCTGATGTCACACTAGGCATCTAAAATGGTTACAGTCTGGGTTGCTTTGTATTATTATTATAATACTAACAAGGTTCTTTTTTTGTCTCAAGTGACAAAATAATTTGGTTGCCCTTTAGTGGCTGCTTTGAACATGAGTGCTTTTCTGTTCTGCTTTCTTAAGCTGTCATTGGCAAGGGATAGGATGGCAGTCATGTTTTCAATCTCTTTCAGACCAAATACCTTGACGACCTTTCTTAGCTCTACAAGGAACATTTTCCGTCAGTGGGAAGGAGAAAGCCAAAGCTACCTAAACAGAAATCAGGTGTCAAGAAAACTTATTTATCAATATTCTCTTCCTGGCTGAAGGGGGTAGAGTTATATAAAATTTGGTGTATTAATATGTTATAGAGAAATAATGTAATTTTTCCTTTGTGAAGAGACGGTGGTCGGCTGGTACCCCCAAACTGCATCCGAAGGTTGAGGAAAAGAAGGAGGTGGGATGTGTAGGGTAGTTGGAAGAGAAAGAGGAGAGAGGTGTGGGTAGGAGGGGAAGAAAGGAAGAGGGAAGTAGGTAGGAAGGGTGAAACAGAGGGTGGATGCGGGGGGGGGGGGACGACTGCCGACCACCTCTGAAAATATGTTTAATATGTATTTTTTCCCCTTTTTTATGTGCACCATATTTGTATTAAGAATTTGTTTATTTGAAAATTAATAAAAATTTGTAAAAAAAAAAAAATTCTCTTCCTGGCTATTTTGTTTTGGTGCTGGAAGCGAAGGAGGAAGTTTATGTATCCAAAAATACTGAACACAGAATCAAATAAATACTTGTTTATTATGGTTTACCATGTATGGTGGCAGTCTCAAAATTGATATGGAACAGGACCTTGTTCCTTGTCCCCCCTCTTTAAAACTTTTGGAAGTAAGAAACCTTTTTTTTTTTTTAGTAAGGCAGTCTATTCGTGTATTATTGTTTTACTGTCATTATAACGATGTTTATTGATGTTTCTTCTTTTAATCGTTTCCCCACGGTTCTCTTAATTCCTTAATATAGTAGGAATTGATATGTAAAAATTGTTTATTAATGGTTTTACTGTTGTTGTTGGCTGCTTTGAACTGGTGTTGATTTTTTTTTTGTTGCAAGATGTATGTTTTAAGTAAATAATGTTACATGCCTGTCGATACAGTATATTCCTTGGTTCCCTCCAAGCTCTTTGCTTGACCTCCTTTACTTCTTTAAAACATGGAATGGAAGCTAGCACGTTTTTAAAGAAGGCATCTCTTTTAGGCAAATCTATATTTCCAGTCACATCTATAGACGGACTGGGCTCAGAAGAGCCAATATGCCTTTTCTCCAGGCCAAAATAGGAAATGTGGAAAAAGAAATGCCAGGTATTTGCAAAAGAATAATGCATACAGTACATACAAATATTCACATTTTAAATAAACAGCTCTGAACATTCCTCTTCAAGAACACAAGGGCATTTTAAAATCCAATGCCCATCTCAATTATAGACACATGCACTCACACAATAAATAAAAACGTGCCTCTCCAAAACTTTAGCCTGTTCAGGAAGGAGGCAAATGCTAAAAGAAGAGTAAAAGGATGAGGAAGATCCAGTGGCTGACGTGACAAATTATGGCTTCCGGGATTCTAGAATATTAGCCCCTCGTTTCTGA